GAGCGGGCGCGCACCGTTCGGCGAGCTGCACGCCCACTCGCGCCGCCAGGCACGGGCGCTCGCCCGCCTCCACTTCGCTCTCGGAGTCGGATCCGAGGAGCCGTGGCCCCGCGCTCTCCGCGATGAAACGCGGTGGCGGGGCCGGGCGGATCAGCCACTGCGCGGCGGCCCAGCCCGCGCCACCTGATACGTAGTGCAGTGCCCAGCCGAGCTTGCGGAGCCCGACGCGCACGGCTCGCCCCCAAGTGGGGCTTGCGTGCTCCCCCAAGTCCACGATCTGCGCGTTGTCGACGACGGCGCATCGATCCACGTGGAAGGGGTGGCGGCGGCACAGCCCGCGGTGCGGCACAGGTGCACCTGGCCCACCGCCTCCAAGCTTTCGCGCATGGCCTTGCTCGCGCAGCCGAGGACTCGGTCCACCTTGACGTTCAGGCCGTGGCGATCCAGGCGCGGCTTAGGGGGTGAAATCGCAGGTGATGCGGGCGACCTGGCCCTGCTTCCGCAGCAAGATGTGGTTCTGGAGTCGTCCCGTACCCCGTCCCCTCACGCCCTTAGTGTAGTACTCGGACTCCGTGTCCCCCCCGATCCCGGGCCCGCGCCACCGCACGTAGATTGGGGTGGGCGGCGGCGGGGGGAGAATCGCCTCGGGACCAGCCCCCCGTCGGCGACAACAGAGCCCAATCTGGTAGTGGGACCAGCGGAGAGCCGACCACAGCCACCCCAAAGGGGCCGTCGCCATATTCATGCAGTAGGCGCACAGACCCAGGAAGATGGCTAGCATCGCGAGGGATCCGCAACGGATGGCTGTCCCCTCACCAGTAACCCAGCAGGGTAACACCAGCTCGGTCGATCATCGAACCGAGGAAGCCTCCCTTCTGCCTGAGGGTCCCGATCCGCGCCGGCGTGCTGAACCAGGACGCGAACCCACTAACCTTCAGGGCCCACGCCGTGAAGCCCCAGTCGAACTCCCAGATCGGGGGCTCGCTTGGGGGCGGGGGCGGGGGCGGGGGCGGAGGCGGTGGCGTAGGCAGCCCAAACGCTGGCCAGGCCATCCAGCTCGGCCAAGCGGGGACCCAGTTTCCCCACGCCCGGCCTCCCTCCTCGCGCGACGCTCCCGGCGCTCCCCCAAGAGACGCGGGCTCGCGCGAGGCTCCCTCCCCGCCCGGGGCTGACCTGGCGCCATCCGCGGCGCCTCGGCCCCCCTCGGTCGGGGCTGGACCCGTGCCGCGAGGCGGCCCGGTGCCCGTAGTGTCCGGAGGGTCGCGGCGAGGCTCGCCCTGAGGCTTGCCCCCCGCGCCCGCCCAGTCCCTCGCCGAGGTCGGCTTGGGTCCAACTGGTTGCTGACCCCCTGCACCCGACCTCGACGCCTCCGTATCAGGAGGAGAAAGAACACACAGACACAATTAATCGTCGACTCCCGAGAAAACATGGGAAAATATGGGAAGTGGTGGGGAAGACAAAATGATTACCAGAAAATATGTGAAGATATGGGGAATCTTTGTATGTGTGTCCATCTATTTGTGTGTCCCAGGGCCCCTTCACCGTAGCCGTTGTGGCCGCAGCGGGCGCCGCGGCTCGGGGCGAACTCGCCCCCTCGGCCGGCGCGCGCCCCTTCCCGGGGGATGGCTTGGCGGCGGGTGTCACCGCTCCGCGCCCCTTGCCATGGTCCCCCCCTCCACCGAGGGCGGGCTTCGCTCTGGCATGGGGGCCCGGCGGCGGTGGGAGCGCGGGGCCGCCCCCGGAGGGGCTATAGCCCGCATGGGTCCCCACCACCCTTCCGCCACCCAACGTGCGCCTCCCATGGCGATCACGCTCGCGTGAACGGCGAGCATCATCCGCGGCGGCATGGCCCCCCCGCGCGCCGCGGGCCCCCCCCCCCTTTTTGGCCGGAGGCCCACCGGCACAACTCGTCTCGAGCCCGCAGCTCAGAGACCACAATGGAGCGCCCTTCCCCCCACTTCACCTGCAGTCTTCACCAGGCCAGACTAGCAATCCCCTCAGACGCGCCGTGGGCCAGAGGTCCGTTGTGAGGATGGGCGTGGGCGCCTTTGATCGACGGTGAGATGTGCCAGAGAGGGGCCCGAACTCAAGGTTTGTGCTCGTCTTGCTCTTGCCGCGGGGACTGCCGCGCGCAAGCGTGTGGGAGGAGTCTTTCGGAGGTTGTGCCAGAGAGGGGCCCGAACTACACAAAAGACGAGCGGAGGTCGCCGTAGGCGGGGGCGGAAGTAAGCTCTGGGCGACAGGGTGCCATCTGGGATCGCGCAGGGGGCGTTTCGGGGCCCTCTTGGGCCGTCGGCGGCGCTTTGCGGGCCGTATGAAGGCCATTTGGGTTTGGGTGCGCTATCTTGGGCATCTCCTGGGCCGCCCCGGGGCCATCGGAGTTGTCGTGGGATGATCTGGGACGCCTCTTGGACCGTATCGGGTGGGAGGTCCAGGCCTCTGACGCAGTTTGCCGGGCCGGGCGGCGTCCTGACAGAATGCGGCAATTTTGGTTGGTTGGGGCCCTCGGAAGGGGGTCCTGTGGGGGTCATCTTGGAGCGTCTATGGAGCCGCTGGGGGGCCCGTCTGCGGCGACTTGCGGGTCGTGTTGGTCAGCCACTTGCGGAGGGTGGCGGGGGGAGGGGGGAGGGTTTCTTAGAAGCACCCCTGCCTCTTAGAGGGCGCGGGCCTGATCTATAGATGTAAGGCCGGCGCCTTCTGAGAAGCAGCGTCCTTCTAAGGAGCCCCCCCCCCTCCCTCCACCCCCTTGTGCGCACCACCAAGTCTGTGGAGCCTCTGGGGGGCTCGTCTGCGGCGACTTGCGGGTCGTGCTGGGGCAGCCTCGCGCGGTGTGGGGCTCGTGTTGGGCCGTCGTGGGGCCATCGTGGGTGGTGTTGAGGCCGTCTCGGCGTCCTCTGGAGTTGTCTTTGGGCGCCTTTGGGGCCATCCCAGGGCCGCCTGGAGCCGTCGTGGAGCCCCCTGAAGGCCTCTTGGCCGTCTCGGGTCGCTGGTCACGGCCTCGGAACCAGTTTGTCACAGAACGTCAGCTGTCGTAAACGAATTGTATTTGTTTTGGCTAGCTGGGGCCCTCGTGGAGGGTCTCTTGGAGGGACCTTGGAAGCTTCGCGGGCTGTCTTGAAGCCATCACAGGTCGATTGGGTGCCTTCTGGAATCGTCTAGGGACCCGGGCGAGCGATGTCGAAGCCGTCGGAGGCCGTCCAGGAGAATGTATGAGGTTGTCGGGGCCGCCGAGTCCGCCAGCCCATTTCACTGGGACGCCCCCCCCTCCAAACCGGCTGGGCTCAGCCCTCAGGGGATGGATTTGTCAAGGGGCAGCAGTTTCACACCCCGTAGATCCCAAGGGGTCGGCTAATTTCTGCCATGAGTTGGTCCGCCCCTAAGGTTGCCCCTCAAGCAGCAGGAGTCCGCAGGAGTAGGAGGCGGAAAACGAGAAAGAAATGAAGAACAAAGGGACAACGCAATGATATAATTGCGCACCAGCGTTCGCTTCACGCGACCATTCAGAACGCCTACCAGAATGTGATATGTGTACCCGTCTGCCGCCTGAGTCAAGATTGCTGATCGCGTGCCAAAAGGTATGATAAGAGCAACATCGAACTGGATGCACGCCCCCCTGAGCTGAATACGCCCCCCGTGCCCGCGCGACGTGGGCCCGGATCAGCGCAGACGCGTGGCCCAAAGTGTAGACACCAGCTTCAAATTGCACCAGTGCAGCGTGCCAAGCAGATCGATGTTCTGTTCGGCGTGAGGGATTGTCTCTCACCCGAGTCTCAGCATCTGCACGGGCCGCCTTCGACACCCCCGTAGCATCCTTGCCAACCGACAGTGCAACAGGATAGCGAAGCGCCCGCGCATGGTCCAACGTGTTGTCGCAACGTGCACTCCGCGTTTTTTTTTGACAGGGGGATAAGCCTGCACACACCAGGCAATCTGTTAGCACCCCGCCTCCCCAGTTAAAAAATAAGCGAAGTGATCGCGGAGCGCCACAGCATGATTCAGATGTTGCCGCCAAGTGCATGTTGTGTTGGTTTTGACAGGGGCGCGGGGGTGGGGCTCGGCACTGGCCCTCGTTCGGGGCCAGTAGAATCGGGGAGGGGATGTAAATGGATAAAGAGCAATGACTAAGCTACCCCGAAGACGGCCGCCAGCCGTCTCGCTCACCCCCACCACCCTTATCCCACATAAGTAGCACACGAGTCTCAGCGCCAGGTGCGCCAGCACACGTGACCGCACAGATCGGGAAACATGTCGACATTATTCTCAAAAGCCATTGCGCTTTGGCCTTGGTGAACATGGCGTATAGCGTGTCCACCCGCAATCATGCTGCAGATGCGTTTGACAGCGATGGTATGCTCGCGGGGCTGGTCCAAGCTTCTGCCGCAAAGAACATTCGAGTAGGGGTTTGACTACAGAATTGATTAACCCCAAACCTCATTTCCCTCCGAATCGATGTAACAACTATGTAGAATGTCCCGTAGATCTACGAACAGTCACGCGCTTCTTATACGTTCGGCGGGAAACTTGATGCACTGCGTGTTGACAGGGGCTGTAGGCCTGCTCACACTGGGCAAGCTGCTGTCACCCCCCGCCGTCCCTGTCAAAGCAGTGTAAGGCATGATCACGCAGACGCGCGCACGGTCCAAGATTTGGCCGCAAAGTGTACCCCGTCATTCCTGGTTCCGGGCCGATTTCGGTGGGTTCCGGGTTCCCAGGTTCCCGGTCGATCTCCGCATCGATCAAACTATCCATGAATTGGGTTGTGAACTGTTTTTGACAGGGGTGGTGGGGAGGGGCATGGTTCTTGGTCGGCCTCCGGTCAAGCGGGGGGTGCTCGTTTCTTCAGCAGCAGTGTCAAGCCCTTCCCCGAAGGGGGAGGCGGGGGGTCGAAGAACGAGCCCCTCAAGCCACTTACGACCTAGAGGGCTGGTGGGGCAACGTGTGCTCGCCCTCTCACTTTCCCCGCCCTCCCTCCTTGCCCCGCCCCCCCTGGCGGCGGCAAGGCGAACTTGCCCCCGCTACCGCGGAAGAAGCACCCGGGTCGGCTCTCGAGTCGCCGCCGCCAGCGCCGACGCCGAAGCCGTCGCCGACGAAGGGCAACGGCAAGGCCAAGGCTCGGGGGATGGGGGGGTGCAGCGGCGGGGGGAGAAGGAGAGCTAGAACGGAGGCGAAAAGGACGAGGAGAAGGGGAAGGGATGAGAAGAGGGAGAGGAGGAGGTCGGAGCAGGGAGAGAGGAGACGAGGAGAGGCTGGCTTGACTGGTAGACGGGACACCAGGCATACAGCACAATGCGATCACCACCACACGTCAATCCTATTGCTTATCCTAGTATTTCTCCTATCGCGCTGGTAGCCCGAGTGATCATTACAACCGTCATGGCTGTGTACCTGGGCAGGCTGCTCAACTGTAAATTGGTGCAGTTTGGCAAATCTGCGCGATTGACATTGCACACAGATGTGCGGCAGTATGCGTGCGTGCGCACGTACGTTTGAAGTCGCGCGCATGTACATAGCGGGAGTAGTCCTCGTGCACAGATCGCAGTATTGGAATGAGTACAACGAGTAGCCCAGCATATCATATTGATCCATTTGGTGCCACATAAAGACACCTTGCATACAACAGTTGTCATGAGTAGCATAGTGCGCACAGCTGCAATAGGATACCAAGCAGACATGACATGTCATCCAGGTGCCCTTCCTATCTCTGCTATTCGGTCGCCCCCGTTCTCCCCTCCCCTCACACGCATCAACTCCTTCACTCGCGCCTCTGTAAGCCTATCATCCCTCTCGCTCTCTCACTCTGCCTCCCCGTCCTCCCCCCGCCTGATCAGTCCTCTCGCTCTCTCACTCTGCCTCCCCGTCCTCTCCCCTCACCCGCCGGCGGGAACCCAGAGGGGCCAGTGACAGAGGAGACAGGGTCTCGGAAGCCTTCAGGCTCATAAGAGCCACTATTTCTGCCACGTGTGGAGGACCCTTGTTCTCCTTGTCGTTGGCCCTTCCCCTCCTGGTGCCTCGCCACGCCCGGCACGCTCCTGTCCCTGCCGCCCCTCCCGCCAGGGGCCGCCACCGCCGAGGGCCGCCCAGCCGCAAGGCCTCGGCGCGACGAGCCAGGGGTGCCGGCCGAGCGGAGGAAGGGCGATCTGACGACGAGAGGCAGAAAGATGAGGAAGAGAGGGCCGAGAGAGGAGCTTCCTCCTACTACCACCACTACTACTATTACTACTACTACTACTACTACTACTACTACTACTACTACTACTAATAATAATAATAATAATACCACTACTACTACTACGACTACTACTACTACTACTACTACCACTACTACTACTACCACTACTACTACTACTACTACTACTACTACTACTACTACTACTACTACTACTACTACTACTACTACTACTACTACATACTACTACTACCTACTACTACTACTACTACTACTACTACTACTACTACTACTACTACTACTACTACTACTACTACTACTACTACGACTACTACTACTACTACTGCTGCTACTACTACTACTACTACTACTACTAGCTACTACTACTACTACTACTACTACTACTACTACTACTACTACTAC